CAAGATCACCTCAAGATTACCCGCAAACCAGATCTATAATGAAGTTCTCGCCGTGTACCATGCATCCAGACCTCCTGCAAGATATATGGCAGGTTCGTGTGTACTCTATGAAGTTCACAAAATGCATAACCTCCAACTACCAAATGAGAGTTAAGATATATGCCAACCAAATAGATGTTCACTTTGCATAGTCAGCAATTTCCAAGCTCCTGTCTTCCAAAATACGCACAATTAAGGAGTGGGAAATCTTAGCCAAGTCTCCCAAGTCTGGTGTGGGTAGTGTATGCTCATGTTTGCATCCTTCCCACCGTCGCCTACTGGATAGGTGTAGGGACGTGGGGTGCATGATAAGGACATTATAATTAGATGTAACTAGTTCACAACGGATGTAAAGTGTTTAGTTTAAAGATCATTGGGTTTAATATCTGAACCTATTATTCGACTCAAATTTTCCTGCACCAAGAAGGAAATGGAGATCTTTAATAAGCTAATTTAACTAACTCATGGTGAGGTTTGTTAATAGAATTTCACACTGGTGTAATCTTGGGTCAGATAAGGGACTGGGTATACACCACTGGTTGATGTGTTCCCTCACACACACACACACACACTCTGGTCTACGCCATGAGGGTCGCTTTCCTACTTCTGCTGACAGCTCTTGGTGAGTTGCTAATGTTATCATGTTTACACAAAGAAATCACACTAACATGATACATATCAAAGAGAAAATCAATTGGAGCAATGAGGTGACTTGAACCGGGGAGAAAGGAACTCCCAGCCACGCACTTTACCCCTGTACCATGACTTGTAATAAGTTATACATCCTAGGACTCCACTCAACCCACAAGAAGTCTGAAGCCTTCTGGTAAAGCCAGTTCAAGTTTAACATATACCTCGTACCATACAGAGTACTCGAAGCACTCTGGTGCAGGTAAAGTAGATCAACTATGCGCTCCAACAGATTTTCTCATTGATATATTTCACTCAGTGTGATTTCTTTGTGTATGTGAAGCTGGAGCGTATGGTACTCGTTTCGGCAGTACATATACTAAAATTGGAACGATACAAAGAAGATTAGCATGGCCCCTGCGCCAGAATGAGGAAAAAAAATAGAGCGTATGGTTGACGAACTACTTAACTAAGAGAACCATAGGAGGAGGCCTGGCCGGGGAACAGGCCACTGGGACCTTGAACCCTGGAAGCGCCGCAAGTAACCATGAAAGCTGCGAAGGCATAGACGACGTTGGTCTCTTAAACGCTTTAAAAGAGACCAACCTCGTCTGTGCCTTCATATGCCCACTTGGGGACTGTCAGGCCCAAAGACCTCAGTATATAGGCAAGACAACAACGTCTCTCTCTCTAGGCGATTAACAATGCACAAGCGACAGGGCTCCATCAAGGAGCATATAATTTCCTGACACAACCAGACCATCACCAGAGACATCTTAACAAGGAACCTGAGATAATCGATAGCTATGTCGACAACAGAAGACTTCAAAGTCAAGACAAAGCTAAGCCTTACACATCAAAGTCAAGACCATCAATTAACAACCAGTTAACACATAATTACATTCTTCCGACTTCAAGACCTCGAGCCAACACAGAGACAGTAGAAGTAAGAACATTAGCTGCTTATGTTTATGCATGTAATAGCCTATTAATATCCATTATGTTTCATCCACTTGTCCATCTCAATCACATCCTGTACCACCTCACCCCAAGAGAATATAAGCCCTTGCAAAAGCATTGTGAATTACCTCCCTTTCTGGAGGAGCCAATCTGCAAGTCCTTCGCACATACTATGTACAGGCAGTCAGATCAGTGATCGATTATGCCGCACCTGCACTCACAAATCTATCACACCAACAGTGGAAAAAGCTTGAAGTTGCCCAAAACAATGCTATGAGAGCTGCACTGGGAGCCCCCATGTGGACCAGGCTTGAAACTCTTAGACTGGAGACGGGTTTGCCCTCTCTACAAGAAAGAATATCACAAAGGACAGCTACAATTATCAGTAAGATAATTATTTCTTCTGATCCAATCCCAGTACGGCAGGCCTTGGTGGTTGGACTAGGCCAAAACAATGGAAACTCTTGGGTTGCAAGAGCAGGAAAAGTCCTAAACAGACTACATTTAAAAAACATGATTCTTGATAGAGAGGGTGATCATCCACACCCAAATTACACTCCTTCCGCGCTGTGGGAAGAGCCTACTTTCAAAATAGTAATAGAAATTCTCCCAATGAAAAAGGCTGCCTATGATCCGACAATCTAAGGCGCATAATAGAAGAGCAAATGTATAGCATAGCAGTAGCAGGAGCCACCCACATCTTCACAGACGGATCGGTGGACACAGAATATGAGAGTGCTGGCGCTGCTCTTTGCACGGCCAGCGTACAGGCATATTGGAGACTGGGAGGACTAGTATCATCAACCCAAACTGAGCTGTTTGCCATACAACAGGCATTCGCATATGTGATTGCACAAAACACTCAAAATGCAATCATACACACAGACTCAAAAGCTGCACTTCAAATACTAGGACAAAAACAGTGGAAAGATAATGTGGAAATAATTACCACCATTTTGTATCTTGGAGCAGTCGCTAAAGGCAAAGGACTCAACATAACTTTAAACTGGATCCCATCCCATATTGGAATCCCATTAAATGAAAAAGCTGATGAAATTGCTAAATTGGCAACTCGTCATCCAGTGATACATAAAACAATTCAACCCAGCCTAGAGAACATAAAAAACATCATCACCAAAAAACTCTCACATCTCAACAAAGCCTACCTGCACCAGAGAATAGCTGAAGGTTCGCCATCTGCAACATGGTATCTTCAGGCAACCAAATTAGAAAGGTTAAATATCCCAAAAGGAATCCACAGGGAAATAGCAGTTAGGCTATATAGACTACGTCTAGGTTACAGATGCAACTGGGAGATTGGTGAACCCCGACAGAGAGAGTGCATCTTCTGCCAAACTGTCACAGAAAAGCCATTACTTCACTATCTTCTGGAATGTGAAGCAACCAATGACCTTAGAAGAGCTTTAAGAGTTCCTGAATCATGCAGTGGCCACCCTGAAGCCATCAACACAGCCACTCTCCTGGTCAACAAAGGTGCCCAGCAGCTGGACACCCTCATAAAGACTGTGAAGCAGTATCCTTCCCCGCGATAACAGCTTGATGGTTAAATGCAACCTCAGAATACTGAGAAAAAAAAAAAATGTACCACTTACGGGCTATTCATGCCCGTGCCACCTCTTGGGTGGCTTAATCTTTATCAATCATCAATCATTGTGAATTTGTCTTCGAGAATATAAGAAGTGCCTTGCGAAACGCATCCCTAGGGGTCAGACCATAATAAATTGTGAAAATGAACTTTGGAGAGCTAATTTTACAACTTTCCTCGACAGTGAAGAAAACCATAAGAAATATTGAGAAAAATCGTGTTAAAATCATATTACTCTTACCCTTTCAGTCCAACCCGTTCTCGAACTTTCGTATAGTCAATATTGACTTATTAAATACGTGCATAGGTGACATACTAAACATACTAGTTTACCTTGAAAAGCTTCATAGAAAACACCGACCTTACCTAACCTTCTTAGTATGTTAAGATAAGCATCTTATTGCTTCGTAATTACAATTATTACTTAACCTATACCTATAATATGTTAAGTAATAATTGTAATTACGAAGCAATAAGATGCTTATCTTAAATTAACATACTAAGAAGGTTAGGTAAGGTCGGTGTTTTCTATGAAGCTTTTTAAGGTAAACAAGTATGTTTAGTATGTCACCTATGCACGTATTTAATAAGTCAATATTGACTATACGAAAGTGCGAGAACGGGTTGTTCGGTCATATTCAACAACGCACACACACACTCACTCATATATATATATATATATATATATATATATATATATATATATATATATATATATATATATATATATATATGTCGTACCTAGTAGCCAGAACTCACTTCTCAGCCTACTATTCAAGGCCCGATTTGCCTAATAAGCCAAGTTTTCCTGAATTAATATATTTACTATAATTTTTTTCTTATGAAATGATAAAGCAACCCTTTTCTCTATGTATGAGGTAAATTTTTATTTATTGGAGTTAAAATTAACGTAGATATATGACCGAACCTAACCAACCCTACCTAACCTAACCTAACGTATATTTATAGGTAAGGTTAGGTTAGGTAGCCAAAAAAAGCTAGGTTAGGTTAGGTTAGGTAGGTTAGGTAGACGAAAAAACATTAATTCATGAAAACTTGGCTTATTAGGCAAATCGGGCCTTGAATAGTAGGCTGAGAAGTGCGTTCTGGCTATTAGGTACGACATATATATATATATATATATATATATATATATATATATATATATATATATATATATATATATATATATATATATGTGTGTGTATATCACGAAAATAAACACGTGATTAAGAATGTGACAATGTCAGACCACGAAGGAAAAATGTAACAGGAAATTTCCTGTTTCATTTTTCCTTCGTGGTCTGACATTGTCATATATATATATATATATATATATATATATATATATATATATATATATATATATATATATATATATATATATATATATATATATATATATATATATATATATATATATATATACATATATATACATATACATATATATATACATATATATATATACATATATATATGTATATATATATATATATACACACTCACTCATATATATATATATATATATATATATATATATATATATATATATATATATATATATATATATATATATATATATATATATATATATATTAAATATGACCGAAAAAGTAAGATTAATAATTCTAACACGAATTTTCTCAATCTTTCGTACATTTCGTTTCACTGTTGGAGGTAAATCAAAAATCATTTCTCCAAAATTCATTTTTATTTCTAGTCTCTAAATATTATACATTATATGGAGGACCTATGGCAATTCCACGACCAAGAGATGGCTTCCTGAACCTTGCAGGAATTAACCTCACTGAGGACCAAGTCACTCTCCTAAATCTGGGTATAAACTGTCATGTTATGTCCAGACCGAGTGAGATGGCCCGGAAAGTAGAGTTGGAAATTCTGTTGGACGACATATTCGACCTCGAGACACAAAAGAAGGTCACCACCAAAGATACCTTACAAGCAGAACTTATTGCAGAAGGAGGAAAGAATCGAGGCAACTACAGAAGCACCATACTGTCCCCCGAGCTTAAAGCGGCAGCTAAAAGCCTTCGTGAGAACAAGGAGATAGTTGTCAGGAGAGGTGACAAGTCGCCAATATATGTCATTCTTAAAAAAGACGAATATCTGGCGAAAATGAACATCATACTCTCTGACCAAACTAAGTTCCAAAGGGTAACGAAGGACACTACAGCCGAATTAAAAGCAAAGGTCAACAAACTGATCGAAACTGTGAACGCCAAGAAATCCGGACTCCACCTGCCAAAGATCATTGGGGAATATAAACCTGGATATGCGTATGGAAATGTCAAGACGCACAAGCCTGGAAACCCACTTCGGCCAATCATTAGCCAGATACCCACACCCACGTACAGATTGGCGAAGCGACTCAACGGCCTGCTGACTCCTTATGTTCCTTGCGCCTTCAGCCTGAAGTCTCCAAAGGAATTTGTTGACTTACTGTGGGGCACACGGGCCACAGGGATAAGAGCCTCGTTGGACGTAGAATCGCTGTTTACCAACGTACCTGTGGACGAGACAATCGGAATGATAGCCGACAGAGTGTATCGTGATCCAGCCTGTACTCCTCTTGACATACCAGAAAATATTCTGAGGAAACTACTCCAAGCTTGTACTAAAGAGGCACCCTTCTTGAGCCCGGATGGGCACATGTATAAGCAAGTAGATGGGGTCGCCATGGGTTCTCCCCTAGGTGTCCTGTTTGCAAACTTCTACATGGGTACCATCGAGCAAAAAGTCTTAGTCGACATGAACTTGAAACCGGCCATATACTGCAGGTATGTTGACGACATTTTTACACAGGTACCTGATGTCAGACATCTGCAGGAGCTGAAGGAGGCATTTGAGCAGAGTTCCGTGCTGCGTTTCATTTACGAGATGGAAAAGGATGGGAAGCTGCCCTTTCTAGATGTAACAGTCATGGAAAAGGGCGGAGGTTTCCACACTGCAGTCTACACTAAGGAAACAAACATAGGAATGTGCCTAAATGCCAACAGCGACTGCCCAGACAGGTACAAGAGGATTGTTGTTAACGCATATGTCGACCGTGCTCTCAGCCACAGCTCAGAATGGAAGCAAGTTATAATAGACTAGAAATAAAAATGAATTTTGGAGAATTGATTTTTGATTTACCTCCAACAGTGAAACGAAATGTACGAAAGATTGAGAAAATTCGTGTTAGAATTATTAATCTTACTTTTTCGGTCATATTTAATAATATATGTCTACAGGAAAGACTGCTACCAAAATATACTAATATATATATATATATATATATATATATATATATATATATATATATATATATATATATATATATATATATATATATATATATATATATATATATATATATATATATTGTGACGGGAAAGTTTGGAGTGTTGATGTTCGGCAGTCCTCCAATGGCAGGTGTCAATGCCTGGTCACACATAAAACATAAAGATAGACTGCTTGCCTGTTGTCTGTGGTAAGTTAGAGGGAGGAACACGTAAAACACAAAGTATGAACAATGAAACTTTAATATATTTACTTTAAACATAAATGAAAATAAAGACAAATCTCGGGGGAATTAAAAGTACAATTAAATAACAAAGATAAATGCAAAGACAATGTGAGACACAATAGTATAAAGGTGAAATAGTAAAATGATGCTGAGAATATCGGCTATGGCTGAGACCTCCCTTCTATACAAGCCAGTGAGCTTAGTATGCCAGAGAGAGATATCAACTCTAAGAGCACAAAGAATATTCTGAAGTTGATAGCTGGTCAGGGCTCCGACGTCGATTCAGGTAGATGGCGCAGAGGTGCAGTGTGCAGGTGCGCGGTCGGCGAGTCACCAATCAGAAGCAGGCAGGCTGGAATGAGTATTTTGCTGGTTGACGACAAGCCGGCGTGGAGGGTGTGTGGAGTAGGGGGGATCTAGGGTACGTTTTGCCTCCTGGTCAAAACGTTTTGTGCTACCGGTGGACGTATCTTGAATGTAGCATCTTATACGTGTTAACTGGACGTAACTTGAGGTAGGGAAGAGCAGGCTCGCTCAATCTCTCTAGAAAGAGATTATCGTCACAATATATATATATATATATATATATATATATATATATATATATATATATATATATATATATATATATATATATATATATATATATATATATATATATATATATATATATATATATATATATATATATATATATATATATATTATTAAATATGACCGAAAAAGTAAGATTAATAATTCTAACACGAATTTTCTCGATCTTTCTTACGTTTTTTTTCACTGTTGATGGTAATTCAAAGATCAATTCTCCAAAATTCATTTTTATTTCTAGTCTGACGCGACACTTGAGCGCGTTTCGTAAAACTTATTACATTTTCAAAGACTTTAGTTTACAAACACACAACTGAAACTGAATAGAGCTTACACATCTTCGATTTTATATCTACATTTGGGTGAGGTGGATGAGGTGAAAACAAACTTTCAACAATGGGTATTGAATGGGTATTAAATTCAAACACAAGACAGAACACTAAACAATGGGTATTGAATGGAAGTAATTGTAGAAAGCCTATTGGTCCATATTTCTTGATGCTTCTATATTGGAGCGGAGTCTTGAAGTGGGTAGAATATAGTTGTGCATTAATTGGCTGTTGATTGCTGGTGTTGACTTCTTGATGTGTAGTGCCTCGCAGACGTCGAGCCGCCTGCTATCGCTGTATCTATCGATGATTTCTGTGTTGTTTGCTAAGATTTCTCTGGTGATGGTTTGGTTGTGGGAAGAGGCTATATGTTCCTTAATGGAGCCCTGTTGCTTATGCATCGTTAAATGCCTGGAAAGAGATGTTGTTGTCTTGCCTATATACTGAGTTTTTTGAGGCTTACAATCCCAATTACAATTACGAGACAACTAACACAACACCTATACCCCCTATTAGACTATTTTACAGGAACTTCTATTCCACAGCCCATAAAACGGAGGAAAGGGTCCTGAAAGATATTGTCAGTAGAAACGTTATCCCTACAGACAAAAATCAGAAGATACAACTGACAATTTACTATAAAATAAAAAAAACGGCCAGCCTACTCATGAGAAACTCTCCAGAAACAAAGCAGAACGTTTTAAAAGAGACCAACGTCGTCTATGCCTTCAAATGCTCTCTTGGGGATTGTAAGCCTCACATAACGCAGTATATAGGCAAGACAACAACATCTCTTTCTAGGCGTTTAACGATGCATAAGCAACAGGGCTCCATTAAGGAACATATAGCCTCTTCCCACAACCAAACCATCACCAGAGAAATCTTAGCAAACAACACAGAAATCATCGATAGATACAGCGATAGCAGGCGGCTCGACGTCTGCGAGGCACTACACATCAAGAAGTCAACACCAGCAATCAACAGCCAATTAATGCACAACTATATTCTACCCACTTCAAGACTCCGCTCCAATATAGAAGCATCAAGAAATATAGACCAATAGGCTTTCTACAATTACTTCCATTCAATACCCATTGTTTCGTGTTCTGTCTTCTGTTTGAATTTAATACCCATTCAATACCCATTGTTGAAAGTTTGTTTTCACCTCATCCACCTCACCCAAATGTAGATATAAATCGAAGATGTGTAAGCTCTATTCAGTTTCAGTTATGTGTTTGTAAACTAAAGTCTTTGAAAATGTAATAAGTTTTACGAAACGCGCTCAAGTGTCGCGTCAGACTAGAAATAAAAATGAATTTTGGAGAATTGATCTTTGAATTACCATCAACAGTGAAAAGAAACGTAAGAAAGATCGAGAAAATTCGTGTTAGAATTATTAATCTTACTTTTTCGGTCATATTTAATAATATATGTCTACAGGAAAGACTGCTACCAAAATATACTATATATATATATATATATATATATATATATATATATATATATATATATATATATATATATATATATATATATATATATATATATATATATATATATATATGTCGTACCTAGTAGCCAGAACGCACTTGTCAGCCTACTATGCAAGGCCCGATTTGCCTAATAAGCCAAGTTTTCATGAATTTATTGTTTTTCGACTACCTAACCTACCTAACCTAACCTATTTTTTTTCGGCTACCTAACCTAACCTAACCTCTAAAGATAGGTTAGGTTAGGTTAGGTAGGGTTGGTTAGGTTCGGTCATATATCTACGTTAATTTTAACTCCAATAAAAAAAAATTTACCTCATACATAATGAAATGGGTAGCTTTATCATTTCATAAGAAAAAAATTAGAGAAAATATATTAATTCATGAAAACTTGGCTTATTAGGCAAATCGGGCCTTGCATAGTAGGCCAAAAAGTGAGTTCTGGCTACTAGGTACGACATATATATATATATATATATATATATATATATATATATATATATATATATATATATATATATATATATATATATATATATATATATATATATATATATAACCTAACCTAACCTATAAAGGTTAGCCTAACCTAACCTAACCTATATATATATATATATATATATATATATATATATATATATATATATATATATATATATATATATATATATATATATATATATACGTATATATATATATATATACGTATATATATATATATATATATATACGTATATATATATATATATATATATATATATATATATATATATATATATATATATATATATATATATATATATATATATATATATTGTTGGGGGCTTCCTGTCCCCAACATCGAGAATTATTATGACCAGCATCAATAACTGGGTATAATTGTTAGAACTGTTCTTTGGCAACATGAACAAACACCAGTCATGAGGATATCAGAATAATACCCGTCAAATAATCCCTCTTAACATCTCAGATACTGAAGTGATTACTTCTCTCAGTTTGTGCGACTAGGAGTCTCATCTCAGCTATCATATACAACGAACAAGATAACAAAATCTTAAACAGCTGCCTTCAACTATCACCGTCAACTCAGCAGCTCTCTGAGTTATGGTCAATACTTCGTTTATATTTATCTATTCCCATAATTAGCAATAAAGTTATTCTGTTCCAATTATCATGATAATGTATGAATTAAAATCATCATTGAATTAGATCCTTTGGTGTTGCAGGAGCATACGGCCAGACATGCAGTGGCCGTTGTGGTGAAAATGACCCAAATAATTCTTGCCAGTGCAACACTGATTGCACCTCCTTCGGTGACTGTTGCAGCGACTACACTGACATCTGCATGTCATGCGCGGACCGCTGTGGGGAAGCTTATGTGTACTCTAAACCCTGCCAGTGCAACCCTGACTGTGGCACTCACGGCAACTGTTGCAGCGACTACGATGACCAGTGTGGTAAGTTGTTACTGTGCCTTTACTAGCCTGGGTGAGTAGTTGACTATGGCTCTACTAGTTTACGATCCATACTGCGTTTCCTTTGACCTTTTTGTTTGTAAATATTGAACATTATTCAGAGTCAGTTAAGACGTCCGTGATGACATCCTTCGCCATACCTTCCGCTTCACTCGTCACGTCCGTGGCCTGAAGAGACTGTAGGGTCCGTGGCCTGAAGAGACTGTAGGGACTGTGGCCTGAAGAGACTGTAGGGTCCGTGGCCTGAAGAGACTGTAGGGACTGTGGCCTGAAGAGACTGTAGGGTCCGTGGCCTGAAGAGACTGTAGGGACTGTGGCCTGAAGAGACTGTAGGGTCCGTGGCCTGAAGAGACTGTAGGGACTGTGGCCTGAAGAGACTGTAGGGTCCGTGGCCTGAAGAGACTGTAGGGTCCGAGGCCTGAAGAGACTGTAGGGTCCGTGGCCTGAAGAGACTGTAGGGTCCGTGGCCTGAAGAGACTGTAGGGTCCGTGGCCTGAAGAGACTGTAGGGTCTGTGGTCTGAAGAGACTGTAGGGTCTGTGGTCTGAAGAGACTGTAGGGTCTGTGATCTGAAGAGACTGTAGGGTCCGTGGCCTGAAGAGACTGTAGGGTCCGTGGCCTGAAGAGACTGTAGGGTCCGTGGCCTGAAGAGACTGTAGGGTCCGTGGCCTGAAGAGACTGTAGGGACTGTGGTCTGAAGAGACTGTAGGGTCCGTGGCCTGAAGAGACTGTAGGGACTGGGGTCTGAAGAGACTGTAGGGACTGTGGCCTGAAGAGACTGTAGGGACTGTGGCCTGAAGAGACTGTAGGGTCCGTGGCCTGAAGAGACTGTAGGGACTGGGGTCTGAAGAGACTGTAGGGACCGTGGCCTGAAGAGACTGTAGGGTCCGTGGCCTGAAGAGACTGTAGGGACTGTGGCCTGAAGAGACTGTAGGGTCCATGGCCTGAAGAGACTGTAGGGTCCGTGGTCTGAAGAGACTGTAGGGTCTGTGGTCTGAAGAGACTGTAGGGTCTGTGGTCTGAAGAGACTGTAGGGTCTGTGGTCTGAAGAGACTGTAGGGTCCGTGGCCTGAAGAGACTGTAGGGACTGTGGTCTGAAGAGACTGTAGGGTCCGTGGCCTGAAGAGACTGTAGGGTCCGTGGCCTGAAGAGACTGTAGGGGCCGTGGCCTGAAGAGACTGTAGGGGCCGTGGCCTGAAGAGACTGTAGGGTCCGTGGACTGAAGAGACTGTAGGGACTGTGGCCTGAAGAGACTGTAGGGACTGTGGCCTGAAGAGACTGTAGGGTCCGTGGCCTGAAGAGACTGTAGGGTCCGTGGCCTGAAGAGACTGTAGGGTCCGTGGCCTGAAGAGACTGTAGGGTCCGTGGCCTGAAGAGACTGTAGGGTCTGTGGTCTGAAGAGACTGTAGGGTCTGTGATCTGAAGAGACTGTAGGGTCTGTGGTCTGAAGAGACTGTAGGGTCCGTGGCCTGAAGAGACTGTAGGGTCCGTGGCCTGAAGAGACTGTAGGGTCCGTGGCCTGAAGAGACTGTAGGGTCCGTGGCCTGAAGAGACTGTAGGGACTGTGGTCTGAAGAGACTGTAGGGTCTGTGGTCTGAAGAGACTGTAGGGTCTGTGGTCTGAAGAGACTGTAGGGTCTGTGGTCTGAAGAGACTGTAGTGTCCGTGGCCTGAAGAGACTGTGGCCTGAAGAGACTGTGGCCTGAAGAGACTGTAGGGACTGTGGCCTGAAGAGACTGAAGGGTCCGTGGCCTGAAGAGACTGTAGGGTCCGTGGCTTGAAGAGACTGTAGGGTCTGTGGCCTGAAGAGACTGTAGGGTCCGTGGCCTGAAGAGACTGTAGGGTCTGTGGTCTGAAGAGACTGTAGGGACTGTGGCCTGAAGAGACTGTTGGGTCCGTGGCCTGGAGAGACTGTAGGGACTGTGGCCTGGAGAGACCGTAGGGTCCGTGGCCTGAAGAGACTGTAGGGTCTGTGGCCTGAAGAGACTGTAGGGACTGTGGCCTGAAGAGACTGTTGGGTCCGTGGCCTGAAGAGACTGTAGGGTCTGTGGCCTGAAGAGACTGTAGGGACTGTGGCCTGAAGAGACTGTAGGGTCCGTGGAATGAAGAGACTGTAGAGTCCGTGGCCTGAAGAGATTGTAGGATCTGTGGCCTGAAGAGACTGTAGGGTCCGTGGCCTGAAGAAACTGTAGGGTCCGTGGCCTGAAGAGACTGTAGGGTCCGTGGCCTGAAGAGACTGTAGGGTCCGTGGCCTGAAGAGACTGTAGGGTCCGTGGCCTGAAGAGACTGCAGGGTCCTTGGCCTGAAGAGACTGTAGGGTCCGTGGCCTGAAGAGACTGTAGAGTCCGTGGCCTGAAGAGACTGTAGGGTCCGTGGCCTGAAGAGACTGTAGGATCCGTGGCCTGAAGAGACTGTAGGGTCCGTGGCCTGAAGAGACTGTAGGATCCGTGGTCTGAAGAGACTGTAGGGACTGTGGCCTGAAGAGACTGTAGGGACTATGGCCTGAAGAGACTGTAAGGACTGTGGCCTGAAGAGACTGTAGGGTCCGTGGCTTGAAGAGACTGTAGGGTCCGTGGCCTGAAGAGACTGTAGGGTCCGTGGCCTGAAGAGACTGTAGGGTCCGTGGCCTGAAGAGACTGTAACGGTTCTATTGTTACGTAAAGTATGGTGACAAATAAACACAGACACTAAGACACTATATATATATTTGGTCGAATATACAGAAGTACACAGGTGATACTTTGGTGTGAGTTGAGCGCACTGAGCGTCGGTACAGTATCTCGCAAGTGTCTGCTCTAGACCACACTTGAAAGTAAACTCTCGTTAATGTTTGCTATTCTGCTGCTTATATGCTCGGGCAACACCTCACCGTGTTGCCCGGGCAACGCCTCACCTCATTCATCTCCAAAGGTTGACAGGAATATTAACAAAGCATTTGGAGCGAGTATATTATTGGGATAATCTACTCGCTACAGAACTCCCCCTCCCAGGGGATGAAAGGAAAAACACTTGATCAAGGAACTTAGCTGGTCGGTGAATTGTACGCCCTGCTCGCGTTACATAATCATCAAAGTTAACTTCCTCCTCTTCGCTGATGTCATCTAACTGGGGTCGTAGGGTGGGAGGTCGCACAGGATCGTCCGTCGTTTGTGGTGCGGCTGGTAGCTGGGGTTGTAGGGTGGGAGGTCGTACAGGATCGTCCGTTGTCGTAGGTGGCGGTGCTGCTGGTAACTGTGGTCGAAAAGTGAACTGCGTAGTCGGCGGATGTGTCTCTGGATTTAGCAGTGCCGCAGAAGTTTGAGACGAAGCCTGGAGCAGAGCAGAGAGCTGAGTGAGGCCGAAGTCGTGGAGCTCTATGTGGGAGAGCGTGGCGGCTCGATTGAGAATTGTGAGTGTCTAAACTCGGGGAGCGAGAGCGTGGCGGCTCGATGCGGTCGTAGTCTCCTGTCTGCTCTGTGTCGAAGCTGTAGCGTCTTGGGTTGATTAGGACTGTACACGCCGAGTACTACATTGTTGACTGTGGAAATTGTAGTCTGGTACTAAAAGATGTAGGCAGTGTGTGGACAAGCTCGGTGTAGCAGGAGAGAAGAATGTGCATAATTGTTGCGTCCTTGGGTCGCTGGTGGAGCATTTAGATCCGGGGCGGATGGGCTCGGGCACCAGGACATTAGGAGGTAATGTAGGCACGTAGTTAGGACAACGAGGTAATCACATCTAGAGCTGAATTGTCCTGAAGGCGACGAAGTGTCGGAAACGCAAGCTGTAAGTCCTGTACTGCGCAAAGGGCTTGAGTCGGCCGTGTATCAAAATGCAGTGAACGTGTAGATGAATCTGATGACAGAGCAGCTGTCGTGGGCGAAGGACAAGCAGTGCCCTGGCAGCGACAGAGAGTCGGCAGGACAAGCTGTAGATCCAACATGATGTAATCATTGATGAGGCTGTCAGATGAGTGAGTAACGATTGTGGAGCAGCAAGCCGTAGTAGATGAAAATGCAGAGATGGACGCGATGAAAATCATAGCTGTGGCGAGGGTGTTGGCAGTGTTCCATCACAGCTCATCACATCACATCACATCATCAAAGTAAACTCTCGTTAATGTTTGCTATTCTGCTGCTTATATGCTCGGGCAACACCTCACCGTGTTGCCCGGGCAACGCCTCACCTCATTCATCTCCAAAGGTTGACAGGAATATTAACAAAGCATTTGGAGCGAGTATATTATTGGGATAATCTACTCGCTACAAGACTGTAGGGTCTGTGGCCTGAAAAGACTGTAGGGTCCGTGGCCTGAAGAGACTGTAGGGTCCGTGGCCTGAAGAGACTGTAGGGTCCGTGGCCTGAAGAGACTGTAGGGTCCGTGGCCTGAAGAGACTGTAGGGTCCGTGGCCTGAAGAGACTGTAGGGTCCGTGGCCTGAAGAGACTGTAGGGTCCGTGGCCTGAAGAGACTGTAGGGTCCGTGGCCTGAAGAGACTGCAGGATCCGTGGCCTGAAGAGACTGTAGGGTCCGTGGCCTGAAGAGACTGTAGGGTCCGTGGCCTGAAGAGACTGTAGGGTCCGTGGCCTGAAGAGACTGTAGGGTCCGTGGCCTGAAGAGACTGTAGGGACTGTGGTCTGAAGAGACTGTAGGGTCCGTGGCCTGAAGAGACTGTAGGGACTGGGGTCTGAAGAGACTGTAGGGACTGTGGCCTGAAGAGACTGTAGGGACTGTGGCCTGAAGAGACTGTAGGGTCCGTGGCCTGAAGAGACTGTAGGGACTGGGGTCTGAAGAGACTGTAGGGACCGTGGCCTGAAGAGACTGTAGGGTCCGTGGCCTGAAGAGACTGTAGGGACTGTGGCCTGAAGAGACTGTAGGGTCCATGGCCTGAAGAGACTGTAGGGTCCGTGGTCTGAAGAGACTGTAGGGTCTGTGGTCTGAAGAGACTGTAGGGTCTGTGGTCTGAAGAGACTGTAGGGTCTGTGGTCTGAAGAGACTGTAGGGTCCGTGGCCTGAAGAGACTGTAGGGACTGTGGTCTGAAGAGACTGTAGGGTCCGTGGCCTGAAGAGACTGTAGGGTCCGTGGCCTGAAGAGACTGTAGGGGCCGTGGCCTGAAGAGACTGTAGGGACCGTGGCCTGAAGAGACTGTAGGGTCCGTGGACTGAAGAGACTGTAGGGACGTAACATGATGTAATCATTGATGAGGCTGTCAGATGAGTGAGTAACGATTGTGGAGCAGCAAGCCGTAGTAGATGAAAATGCAGAGATGGACGCGATGAAAATCATAGCTGTGGCGAGGGTGTTGGCAGTGTTCCATCACAGCTCATCACATCACATCACATCATCAAAGTAAACTCTCGTTAATGTTTGCTATTCTGCTGCTTATATGCTCGGGCAACACCTCACCGTGTTGCCCGGGCAACGCCTCACCTCATTCATCTCCAAAGGTTGACAGGAATATTAACAAAGCATTTGGAGCGAGTATATTATTGGGATAATCTACTCGCTACAAGACTGTAGGGTCTGTGGCCTGAAGAGACTGTAGGGTCCGTGGCCTGAAGAGACTGTAGGATCCGTGGTCTGAAGAGACTGTAGGGTCCGTGGCCTGAAGAGACTGTAGGGACTGGGGTCTGAAGAGACTGTAGGGACTGTGGCCTGAAGAGACTGTAGGGACTGTGGCCTGAAGAGACTGTAGGGTCCGTGGCCTGAAGAGACTGTAGGGACTGGGGTCTGAAGAGACTGTAGGGACCGTGGCCTGAAGAGACTGTAGGGTCCGTGGCCTGAAGAGACTGTAGGGACTGTGGCCTGAAGAGACTGTAGGGTCCTTGGCCTGAAGAGACTGTAGGGTCCGTGGTCTGAAGAGACTGTAGGGTCTGTGGTCTGAAGAGACTGTAGGGTCTGTGGTCTGAAGAGACTGTAGGGTCTGTGGTCTGAAGAGACTGTAGGGTCCGTGGCCTGAAGAGACTGTAGGGACTGTGGTCTGAAGAGACTGTAGGGTCCGTGGCCTGAAGAGACTGTAGGGTCCGTGGCCTGAAGAGACTGTAGGGGCCGTGGCCTGAAGAGACTGTAGGGACCGTGGCCTGAAGAGACTGTAGGGTCCGTGGACTGAAGAGACTGTAGGGACGTAACATGATGTAATCATTGATGAGGCTGTCAGATGAGTGAGTAACGATTGTGGAGCAGCAAGCCGTAGTAGATGAAAATGCAGAGATGGACGCGATGAAAATCATAGCTGTGGCGAGGGTGTTGGCAGTGTTCCATCACAGCTCATCACATCACATCACATCATCAAAGTAAACTCTCGTTAATGTTTGCTATTCTGCTGCTTATATGCTCGGGCAACACCTCACCGTGTTGCCCGGGCAACGCCTCACCTCATTCATCTCCAAAGGTTGACAGGAATATTAACAAAGCATTTGGAGCGAGTATATTATTGGGATAATCTACTCGCTACAAGACTGTAGGGTCTGTGGCCTGAAGAGACTGTAGGGTCCGTGGCCTGAAGAGACTGTAGGGTCCGTGGCCTGAAGAGACTGTAGGGTCCGTGGCCTGAAGAGACTGTAGGGTCCGTGGCCTGAAGAGACTGTAGGGTCCGTGGCCTGAAGAGACTGTAGGGTCCGTGGCCTGAAGAGACTGTAGGGTCCGTGGCCTGAAGAGACTGCAGGGTCCGTGGCCTGAAGAGACTGTAGGGTCCGTGGCCTGAAGAGACTGTAGGGACTGTGGCCTGAAGAGACTGTGGCCTGAAGAGACTGTAAGATCCGTGGCCTGAAGAGACTGTAGGGTCCGTGGCCTGAAGAGACTGTAAGATCCGTGGCCTGAAGAGACTGTAGGGTCCGTGGCCTGAAGAGACTGTAGGATCCGTGGTCTGAAGAGACTGTAGGGACTGTGGCCTGAAGAGACTGTAGGGACTGTGGCCTGAAGAGACTGTAGGGACTGTGGCCTGAAGAGACTGTAGGGACTGTGGCCTGAAGAGACTGTAGGGTCCGTGGCCTGAAGAGACTGTAGGGTATATGGCTGAAGATACTGTAGGGACTGTGGCCTGAAGAGACTGTAGGGACTGTGGCCTGAAGAGACTGTAGGGTCCGTGGCCTGAAGAGACTGTAGGGTATATGGCCTGAAGAGACTGTAGGGACTGTGGCCTGAAGAGACTGTAGGGTCCGTGGCCTGAAGAGACTGTAGGGTATATGGCCTGAAGAGACTGTAGGGACTGTGGCCTGAAGAGACTGTAGGGTTCGTGGCCTGAAGAGACTGTAGGGACTGTGGCCTGAAGAGACTGTAGGGTCCGTGGCCTGAAGAGACTGTAGGGTATATGGCCTGAAGAGACTGTAGGGACTGTGGCCTGAAGAGACTGTAGGGACTGTGGCCTGAAGAGACTGTAGGGACTGTGGCCTGAAGAGACTGTAGGGTCCGTGGCCTGAAGAGACTGTAGGGTATATGGCCTGAAGAGGCTGTAGGGACTGTGGCCTGAAGAGACTGTAGGGACTGTGGCCTGAAGAGACTGTAGGGACTGTGGCCTGAAGAGACTGTAGGGTCCATGGCCTGAAGAGACTGTAGGGACTGTGGCCTGGAGAGACTGTAGGGTCCGTGGCCTGAAGAGACTGTAGGGTCCGTGGCCTGAAGAGACTGTAGGGACTGTGGCCTGAAGAGACTGTAGGGACTGTGGCCTGAAGAGACTGTAGGGACTGTGGCCTGAAGAGACTGTAGGGACTGTGGCCTGAAGAGACTGTAGGGTCCGTGGCCTGAAGAGACTGTAGGGACTGTGGCCTGAAGAGACTGTAGGGACTGTGGCCTGGAGAGACTGTAGGGTCCGTGGCCTGAAGAGACTGTAGGGACTGTGGCCTGAAGAGACTGTAGGGACTGTGGCCTGAAGAGACTGTAGGGTCCGTGGCCTGAAGAGACTGTAGGGATCCATCCCTCTCTCGCTGTTTCCTTGTATCGGGCATCCGATCCCTCGTCGTCGTCGCACCTCATACAATAACAACAACAACTTCAAATACATCCCAGAATTATTGGAGATGGAAACGTATCCGCGGATTAACCCTTTCCTCTCATCACATCACACGCTGGTCACCCCCTCCCATCAATGAAATACCCACGAATCACCTCCTCCCCTCAATGTGATGTGCAGATCACCTCCTCCCCTCAATGTGATGTGCAGATCACCTCCTCCCCTCAATGTAACAAGCGTTGGTCACCCTCTCACCGCAATGTAACAAACGTATATCACCCCTCACCTCAATGTAACAGTAACATTAGCAACAAGTCACCATTGTAACACTTGCCACAAACACTGCCGCTACCACTGTAACATTTGTGACAATCCAGTAGTGCTGTTATTTTACAACTATGGTAACTCTCACTGTAATGGTTGCTGTAACTTGTAACCCCTTTATGCTGTAATAATTGCATTGATATAACCAATGGGCAGAGTTTCTTTCACCCTATGCCCCTGTTACCTAGCAGTAAAATAGGTACCTGGGTGTTAGTCAGCTGTCACGGGCTGCTTCCTGGGGGTGGAGGCCTGGTCGAGGACCGGGCCGCGGGGACACTAAAAAAGCCCCGAAATCATCTCAGGATAACCTCAAGATAACCCCAAAAGAACTGGGAAGAGTCCGCTCTCGCAGCAGAAAATGCTCAAACCAGTTATCAGGGGAAGGTGGGGAAAATGACCAAGATGTTTAAAATATCTTTAGAGTTCATACAGACCTCATGAAAGATAAGGTTACTTCTAAACAAATAATGCCGCCATCACTGCTCCTGGAACTTTGATAATTAGGCTAATTGACTCGGGAGGAGACCAGTCAACTAATACTGAGTGTTAGGGAACTCTGATCTTTTAATACTTACTGAGTGAATGGAATTCCTTTTAAGTGAGGCACTGTTGCAGGGGGATCCGGGGGAGGTGTGACGGACGAGGAGCTGTGGGCGCTGACGGAGGACATTTTTGCTGCCGAGGTGAACGCTGTGGGCGACCAACTGACCATTGACGTGCAGGGAGAAGGCACCTCGGGCGACCTTGCCTCCGGACCGTGAGTAGTAACAGTAACCTGTTACAACAAGTTCTATACACAATAATTAGTGTAGAGTATTCTTGGCTTGATTTATCATATATATTACTGACCTTTATAATGGTTCTGGCCTCTACTCTGGAGGCAGTATTCTTGGAGCCTGTTTTAACAAATTACTACAGTACTTAAATTACGCAGTACTTTACATTGATTTTCAATGCTCAGCATTTGTAATAATTTGAGTGTTATAGCCAACGCTTATCTTTAAAGTTCTTAGAGGTGTGTTTCCCATATCCTTTCACAAACTGGAATATAGTTATAACGTTTACTGCTCTTGGTCTCCCTTCTTGATTGTTGCCGGCGGAGGCGGCTTGTTTGTTGTGCACCCCATACTCCTCCTGTGAGAGGTAGTTTATTGTGCACCCCATACTCCTACTGTGAGCAGTAGTTTATTGTGCACCCCATACTCCAGAACGCAGTTCTCGACCTATTATGCAAGGCTCACTTTGCCTAACAAGCCAAGTTTCCTGAATTTCAATATTTGTTTAATTTTTTTCTTATGAAATGATAAAGCTATCCATTTCATTATGTATGAGTTAAGTTCTTTTAATTTGAGTTAAAACTAAAATAGATAAATGACCAAACCTAACCTAACTTATCTTAACCTAACATAACTAAGTCAATTATTTATGTTCTTAATTAATATAATATAAAAACAATATTTCAAATAAACCAATTGGAAACAAAATTTTGAAAATAAAGAAAATCACTCGGCCTATTAGGCAAATCGGGCCTTGCATAGTAAGCCGAGAAGTGCGTTCTGACTACTAGATACGACATATATACATATATATATATATATATATATATATATATATATATATATATATATATATATATATAGATATAGATATATATAACAGTTCTTCAGTTGCATATAGTCCTGGGGACCATTCAGGCTTGTTCGCATATATATATATATATATATATATAAAGGAAATGTATATATATATATATATATATATATATATATATATATATATATATATAAAGGAAATGTATATATATATATATATATATATATATATATATATATATATATATATATATATATATATATATATATATATGTCGTACCTAGTAGCCAGAACTCACTTCTCAGCCTACTATTCAAGGCCCGATTTGCCTAATAAGCCAAGTTTTCCTGAATTAATATATTTACTATAATTTTTTTCTCATGAAATGATAAAGCAACCCTTTTCTCTATGTATGAGGTCAATTTATTTTTATTGGAGTTAAAATTAACGTAGATATATGACCGAACCTAACCAACCCTACCTAACCTAACCTAACCTATATTTATAGGTAAGGTTAGGTTAGGTAGCCAAAAAAAGCTAGGTTAGGTTAGGTTAGGTAGGTTAGGTAGACGAAAAAACATTAATTCATGAAAACTTGGCTTATTAGGCAAATCGGGCCTTGAATAGTAGGCTGAGAAGTGCGTTCTGGCTATTAGGTACGACATATATATATATATATATATATAAAGGAAATGTTCGTTTGTTCAAAATTGCTAATCTCCAAATGTACTTCACCGATTGCTTTGAAATTTTCACACGTTCCATTCGCATCCGGCCAGGTTTTTATATACATACTATATTGATGTCACGTCTGTAACGGTAAAAAAAAACATGCTTTTTCTGAAAAACTGTTTTTTTCATGTCAGGAAAATCTTCGAAACCTACTTACTGATGGCTTTGAAATTTTGACACAACGTTGCATTCGAATAGGCGCGTGGTTTTATATACCTACTATATAGATGCCACCCCTGTGACAGGTAAAAATATGTTTTTTTGAAAAACAGCGCCATCTGTTACACAGAATAGCAATATGCACGCTGTCCTAAATATATCACGAATTTCACTTCAATGTTTCCAATTGCATTGATAAATTTTATTTCATAGATTTTGATTTATTATATTTTTTATTGAATTATTTTGTGTGAATTGTGTTGGAATTGAGCTGTGTTGTTTACCATACCGTTCATTTCATGAATATAGTATATTTTTTTTATTTTTTCATATTTTCATTTCATTTTTAACTGTTTTTCTTATATTTCAGTGATGGGAACATCAGATCACTTGATGTTCCCAGTTTTCTGATGGGAACATCAGACCATTTGGAAAGGCATAGGACGAAGGAGTGGGGAAAGGTGGGGATGACGAGGGGACGGAAGTGAGAGATGGGTGAGGAGGATGAGGGGACAAGGGAGGGGGGAAATAATGGGGAAGGACGAGGGGATGGGGGAGTTTGAGATGGTGGGGACGAGGGGATGGTGGAGTGGGGAATTGTGGGGAGGGCAAAGGGACAGGGGAGTGGGCATGGTGGGAAGGAAGAGGGGATGGTGGCGTAGGGAATGGTGGGGAGGACGAGGGGACGGGTGAGGGGGGAATGGTGTGGAGGACTGGGGGACAGGGAAGATTGTTGTGGCTCAGCAACGCACACGCGTTGCTGAGCCACAGCAGCGCGTGGCCGGGTACTGCTAGTATATATATATAAATGGAAATGTTTGTTCATAACCGCTAATCTCCGAAAATTCTTCACCGATTGCTTTGAAATTTTCACACAACGTTCCATTCGCATCCGAGCAGGTTTTTATATCCATACTACATAGATGTCACGTCTGTGACGGTAAAAAAAACATGCTTTTTCTGAAAAAACTGTGTTTTTCGTGTGTTTTTCACGTGAGGGAAATCTTCGAAACCTCTCTACCGATTGCTTTGAAATTTTGATACAACATTGCATTTGAATAGGCGCGTCTTTTCATATATCTACTATATACATGCCTCACCTGTGACAGGAAAAAAAAAAATATTTTTTTTTTTAAACATCGCTGTCTGTTGGACGTAAGAGCAACACATGCTGTACTCTCCAAAAGTTCTTCACTGATTGCTTTGAAATTTTGACACAATGTTGCATTCGAATAGGCGCATCTTTTTATATACCTACAATATAGATGCCATCCCTCTGACAGGTAAAAACATGCATTTTTGAAAAACAGCGCCATCTGTTGCACATAATAGGAACATGCACGCTATACTAAATATGTCACAAATTCCATTTCAATGTTTCCGATTGCATTGATAAATTTTATTTTCATAGATTTCGATTTATTTAATTTTTTATTGAATTATTTTGTGTGACATTGTGTAGGAATTGAGCTGTGTTGTTTACCATACCGTTCATTTCCAAGTATAGTTTATTTTTTTATTTTTTCATATTTTCATTACATTTTTAACTGTTTTTCTTATATTTCAGTGATGGGAACATCAGATCTCTTGATGTTCCCAATTTTCTGATGGGAACATCAGACCATTTGGGAAGGCATCGGACGAGGGCCTGGGGAATGGTGGGGATGACGAGGGGACGGAAGTGAGAAATGGTTGGGAAGGACGAGGGGACGAGGGAGTTTGGGATGGTAGGGACGAGGGGATGGGGTAATGGAGAATGGTGGGGAGTACAAAGGGATAGGGGAGTGGTGGGAAGGAAGAGGGGACGGTGGAGTGGGGAATGGTTGGAAGGACTGGGGGACAGGGAAGGTTGTTGTGGCTCAACAACGCACATGCGTTGTTGAGCCACAGCAGCGCGTGGCCGGGTACTGCTAGTATATATATATAACCGAAAACTCCACACCCCAGAAGGCTTCGAATTCAGACAGCCAGGAGCGCTATGCATCTTGGCGTATCTGGTACCTTAGCCACTAGACCACAACTGACTGATTGTAATACAGTCAGCTCATAGTAGTGTACAGGTTTTATAGTAGTACAGTGTAGCTTATAGAGTGTGTATGTGTCCTAGGGTACTTAATTTAGCAGCAAGTTTTTTTGTTTAAAATTTACTGGGCCATTATAATTTTTTTTCTGTAATGCATTTCGTTGCTTATTTTGGGTCTAACGAATGTTTATATTTGTTATAACAGTTACAGGATATCTTAAAATTTGCCAATCTCTCTTAAGAAACATGTGCGTACATATTTACTTGTTTAGCAGTCAGAGTAATGTGACTGATTTTACCGCAGACTGTTCACGTCGGTGCCGGCCTCTGCGCTGAACGGCCCCACCATTAGCCTACTGAGGCAGGTACAGGACAACTACATCCCACAAGTCACCACCCCCGAGGTTCAGACCGCCGCCGAGATCGCCGAGCAGGACGCCCTCCTGGATGCCATGATGAGTACACAGGTCATGAAGATCGCAGAGAGTTTCCTACTCGATAAGAGTAAGTTGGTGAGCTCTATTCTAATTCTGCTTCCTTTGGATTCACGATAAACGTTTCTGAGCTCCTCATTGTTTACTTTACGTCAGTGCAAGAGAAACTGGCTTAATTCCGTTCTGCTTCCTTTGCTGCTAGACAGGAGTTAGTTCGTGATCTGGTTTCTTCTTTCTGTTCTTCTTGAGGGCTAACATTCTTAGCTTTAAACCCACTATCTATTCAAATACTTAGAACCGAATTGATAGTATTTATGCATTAATTCTAATCGGTAAATTAATTCTAATTTATTAACAACAAACTCTTCAGGCAATTAAGCCTAAATATTCGTTACGGTCAGCAATACCTTCATGAAGTAAGCAATAAGGAGCTGGTGGGCCGTGACAGTAAGGTGTATACTTCATATTTTCCAGGCCTCCTGACCGGCAGCTTGAGGGACAAGCTGGACGAGATCTGGTTTACGCTGTACACCAGGTCCGGCGGACCCGTCGGATCCTCAGGTTTCGAACACTCGTTTGTTGGAGAACTTAAGAACGGAGAAGTCTCCGGCTTCCACAACTGGGTAAATTTCTACAAAGAAGAACAAGATGGTAATCTTAACTACGAAGGCTGGTCAAAGGTCATTAACCTCGGTACTAAGGTGAGCCTAATTTCTTCTTAAAATGTTATTGTAATGTGTAAATTTGCTATAACATTATTTTAGTCAGGAAATATTATAAGCTAAAGGTATCATAAATGTAGAAATATGTTATTTATACGTGTGTCATGCAACGCTGATTGTCCTCCTCAGGCCAAGATTATAATGGACCACTTCGAGTGGCTCTCTGAACCCAAGACCATTGGGTCAATGTTCATAGGAACGTCGCCTGAACTGGAGTTAGCGACGTACACGGTGTGTTTCCTGGCGCGGCCCGACTCTCTCTGTCCAGTACAGATGGATAACCAACAGTTCCATGTCCAGACGTGGACACTCGCCTACGACGGCAAGGTCCTCGTCGGCAGCGCTTACCCGGACATTTAACTTGTCTTGTTTTCAGAAGATGCTCTCTCAAACATGTTTTAAGGGGGCATCTCCCCCGAAATATTAAAGTTGTTGTAGGGTATTCATAATTTATTATCCTGATACATGTGAAAGGTGCTGCACCTAGGCCAAGTTTCAGCATCTCAGCCTAAATAGAGAAGGAGAAAAAAAAAAAAAAAAAAAAAATATTTTTCAACAATGTTCAATTGCTTTCACAGCCCACAATTGTGAACCAAAATCATTTCTACGACACTCGCTATGACCTTACTATATAATAAAGATTTTGTAGTAAGATCTTTATCCCAGATGTATTTAGTGCAATAATACAGATTTTTAAAAGTTTCCCAAAAACGTATGCAACAAAATGAAGTGTATCATTATTTATAAAATCAATAAATCTACGTAGATATGAAACCTTACTAGAGTTTTTAGAGACGTAAACTCTACATATAATGTGCAAGTTTCGTGTAAATTGAATAATAAATAAAGGCTGTGAAGGCAGATCTAGTTGTAAAAGTTGGAGTTGCGTGGCGCGCGCGACAAGTTACTCTACCTGCGGTCACTCGTGACTGGTGATTTACGCATTGCGGCCAGCTCGTATGGAGAGCTCGCATGCATCTAGCTGTCAATGCATTTCTCTTGTTCGTTTGGTAAGTCATATTGCAGTACAAATAGCAAAAATAGCATGTTCTGGGAGATATTGTGTGAGCGTGTCAGCATACATCCTCTCTCCATGAGAGACGCACAGTCACTGATGGGCTGAGCCACATACAACCCTCTCACTCACAGATACTGTTGCCATTTGTGTGAGTTTATATTCATTTTATGCATAACATGTTATTTTCAACGCTATTACGAAAAATAAGACATCTACAACGTAAGATACAATACCCCGCGGCGCACTCACGCCGCGAAGACCAGATGCACGAAAGTTGCAGCGGGAAATTTGACTCTAATTACGTTATTTTTCAAGATATCATTAAACGGTTTGGACCACAGTGTTGCCAGAACGTTGTAGTATTTTTCGTAATTTTTCGTAAATATTCCATTTTTCATCGGATTTTCGGGTACCACTACCACATTTCTTAGGTAAAAATATTTATGCAAAAACTTATACTTGACATTATATCAAAGTAACATCCTTCAAGCCACAGTTTTTGCATTTAAATAAAAGACTTCACGATTATTGTGCTGATTTAATCCTTTCTATAACTAGAATATCAGGCAATAATAAACTTTTCAAATTGAATACTGAACCGGGTGACGTTCCTCATTTGACAGTGCATGAAACCTAGTTTCAAATGTGTAACGATTAGCCACAATGAGCGCACATAGTGTTAGACTGCCACTCAAATCAGACTAAAATCTCCAAGGAATATACTGGTAAATATTCTTATGAGTACTCGGAGACCAGATGAGTTCTAAGCACAATTTGAGACTCACAGTAGGACTGTGACTGGTGATCGATATAACAGATCAAACCCTGGCCGGAGTGTAAGTGGTGAATAAGTGTACCCTGGCTCACTGTAGTCATGTGCAACTACTTCCAAACTTCTAATGTCTTGTTTGTATCTACAGTTTAAACTGTAGATGGAATTTGCCTCAATATTTCATTTTTTCCTTCGCTTCTATTGTTTATCAATCATACTCCGAATTAAAACTTCCTACATAGGAATTGCCTCATAAGCCGTATATAGTTTTCTGAATGATTACATATCTCAGTTTAAACAAATCTTAGAATCACGTCAGCTAACCTCGGATATTTTGATGATGTTATTATGAAAATTTCCGAAACTGATATTAGAGTTGCCGTAATTTCCGCTCTTAGGTCCACCTTTTCTAGTCTGAGAACTGTATCGCCCTCAGTCTGTTCCATTCTAATTTCATTGTAACCCTTCCCATTCTGATTACCTTGCGTTTTTTTAAATTAAATCTTAGAAACCATTAGTCTGACCATTTATTGATTGTTTAGAGCCTCCTCCAGTATTTTGTAACTGACCACTGGAGTTAAATTTAAAATCAGTTTTCAGTGTCTGGGAGCACAGACTTGCCGGATGAACGTTATAGGTGTAACAGGGGGTGGGGGAAATAGCTCTCTCTTGTCCATTATTCCAAACCCCCCCCCCTCCCAGTTAACTAACGAGGCCAGGGGAAACAGCTCTCTCTAGTCCGTTATCCCGTCCCCAGTTAGCTAACTATTCTAGAGCACTCCCAGAGTTCTTACAGCAACCTCTCTCGTTCAACACCTTGTAACCTAGGTATTTGACTACCTAGGTGCTACGACTACAAGGCGCCGTAACTTGACCAGCTACCCGAAACCCTAGAGAACTCTAGAATACATTTCACTGCCACAAACGTATAAGAGAAAGGAAAGGGAAGAAATGGATAATGAAGTAATTAGTGAGGGTGTGGGGGTGAGAGAGGTGGGAGGAGCGAGGAGGGTCATTAGTTGAAAGGGAGAGTTCGGAGAGGGGTGGAGGGAGAGGAATAGATAGGTAGAAGTAGAAGAATAGATAGTAGAAGAGTAGATAGTAGAAGAAGAAATGCTGCCACCATCCATTCAAGACCATTACATACAAGACAAGGAATGGAACTTGTCTGTATCACCATATTCTCAAAGATGTTATCAAGAGGTCATTATTAGTATGTTCCATCTGTATCATGTACTCATTAAATCATGAAACCGCAGAGGCTTTCTCATCTCAACTCAAAAACTCTAGGGAACAAAGTTAAAGACAATTTAAACAATAAATTCATAAATTATATTTTTCATGATAAGTATCATAATTTAAGCAATTCAAATTAATGTTCAAGATACAAAGTGAGTCACTATCCAGAATTCGAGAACCCTACAACTTGACTGCCCCTGATCCTCACACAACACTTGTAACCACGACCAAGTCACCTAAATGTTCAACTCACCAAGTGTCTGCCTATAGCTGGATAGAGGGAGGGGGGTCTGTAGTTGACAGAGACTGTCCCACCTCACCGGCTGACAGCCTCCCTGGCTAGGCCGTCTTCTCTGCTCTGCTGGCTGGCTCCTGTTCTTTTAATGCTCCCGAATCAATAGCTCTCTGAGTATATATTGGGAAACCTCGTAGCTAACTCCGCCCACAAGTAGATAGCCTCAGGCACTCTACCAAGCCACTCCTTAAACGTCGGCATGTTTGAAGGCTACCAGGCTCCAATTATAAGATTAGCAGAAGCAAGGTGGAATTTGCATGATCTGACCTCAGGTCACTTGAGGTCATTAACGCTTAGAGGTGTGAGACTCAGGACGACAAACTGGCGCCTTCTCAAATCCCTGTCTGTGACTCCAGAATCTTTATGTATTAAATAAAACTAAACCAAACACCTTACGGTGTTACATCTCCCCTTCTCCCCGAAAATAAAGATTTTACAACACTGCTAAAGCAAGCTAGCTGTGTGCGACAACTTTATTAACGAAAAAAATACATCCTAGCTAAACACATATACATCATCCTACTCTAAAAAATTAAATATGTAGACAGACGTCCATTGTCTCTGGCTGGGCGACATCACTGCTTGGTCTTGTAGATAGTCCTGTACCACATTTCTTCAACACAACTGCCTCCGTCGCTTCTCCGTCGTTAACGCACAACAACCCTTGGCCAACTTGGAAACCGTCACTTCTTGCACTGCGCACAGGACCGTGGAATTCGGTTGTCCCAGCTGATCTGTAATTGGCCCTCAGTCACCATGAGAGACGTATATTGGGGTTCTTCACAGCTATAGGGGACTACAAGTTTCGAGACCTCCATATAGTTGCCACCGTAGAAATCCCATCCTACTTCTTTCCTCCCTGTTGCTCCGTACGCCTCCTTCAGAGAGCCACTTCTGACAGCCACATCAAGTCCGCACAACACAGGAAGAATCACTCAACAGAGCAACATGCTTGCAGGAGGGGCGGCCAGTTAAGGCAAACGATCCTGTCTTGCAATTACGCTCCATGCAATGATGCTGACACAAGCAAGGGACACTAGGCATCGTGTCTCACTCAGCTTGTTTTATCTTCTCTTCTTTCTTCTCTCTTCTTTCTCCCATTGGTCTTTAACAAGCGACCTGGGATCCATTGGAGTCCGTCCATCCTGGGCAGACCGACGTTGGTGGGACAGACTAGAGTCGTTGTTGCTCCTCTTCCATCTTTACTGGGTCGTCTGGGGTCGTCTGCAGAACGACCTGGGGTCCACTGGGGGTCTGTCCGTCTTGGGGTCCACTGGGGCCCATCCGTCCTGGGGTCCACTGGGTAGACCATTTTAACCGACCGAGAGGGCTGCATCTTGGGGGTCCCCTGGGGTGATGGTGGTGGAGCCATGACATCCAGGTAGGGGGCTGGTCGACGTGGTGTTGATAAACGCCCCTGAGAGTGGTACTGGCAGCCGTCTTCGTCTTCTGTATGTGCGCGCCTCTCTTCTGGCTCCAACCTGGGAATGAACATAAAGGCAACAATACCCGTGTTCCAAAATGTTGTGTGACCCTGTAGTTTGTATAGGGTTCACACAGTCCAATCATAACGCTCTCCTCCTGGCAACGACTACACTCAAATTTTAATAATCCAATTAACACTGAATGATATTGATTTGGTGGAACATAAAACAGTACTAGAGTAAAGTTAGAGAAGAGAGAATAAGGTCGTCACGGCTTTTAACTTGTCACTAAACGAATCTCCACAAAAAATATCAATGATAATAGAGACAAAACATTAGCCTAACTTAACTATACCGTTCCTAATCTTAAGTACTTAATTAGCCGTTACTCCCACCCTTAACCTACAGCCACCTACGTGACCCAGAGTGTTTCCCTCGCTTCTCCGCGGGTCCACAACTCAAAACTTTTACCACCCCTGTGACCAGACTATCTAACGTCGAGCGTCCCCAACGTGAAGTCTACTGACATACTAAGCCTCCCTGGCTAGCATGCTGTACAAATACCAGTACACCTCAGGTTATTGCGTTCAAATGGAGTAAAACAGTCGATTGCAATAATCTGAGCAGAACCACCACTTAAAACTGCTTAAGAACTACACCTGCCACTCCCCAACTGACCTGGCAACCAGCGGAG